GACCGCGGGAGCCACCTTGGTACTCGGGCCCCGCAGCCCGGAGCACTCGAGGGGATCAGCGGACCCCTGACCCCCGCCCGAGAAAACCAGGACCCAGGCAGCCTCGTCTTGGCGCTGGGATGGAGTAACCGGGATGCCCGCGCCTCCTCACTGGGTGCTGTTGGACAAGTCGCTTCACTTATCTGAACCTCATTTCCACGTTTGCAAAACGGGGATTATGCGAGTCCCCGTGTCCTGGGTCCCCGTGAGGATTAAGCGAGCTGGCACTTGCAAAGCACTTTGCACAGCGCCTGGAGCCCAGCCAAGTTACGCTCGGGCAGTTACGCTGGGTCTCTCTTGGGCACTCTTGTTCATGGCAAAAGGCATTGGTACCACCTCTGTCCACCCTTCCAGCAAGTCGGAGGAAAGAGTAAGTGCTCTTTTCAGATGAAGAAACTGAGGCTCAGGAGGGGAGGGGGCACCTGTACATCCAAGTCTTTTCATAGTGTGAACTCCGTGGTCCCCTCAGAACCTCGGTCTGGTCTGTAAAATGGTGATAGCAGCAACTGTGAGAGCTGAATAGAAGTTAGGCTCCTGTTGCTCGAAATTCCAGTGAAGAAGGTGGGTGTGGGGAGGGGGTTTCTCCTTATTACATATCTTTAAGATTTTTTGGGGCGGTGTGCTTGCCTGGAAGCTGGCATGAAAAACCCCTCCTAAAGTTGCTCCTCGGTCCCCAGTGGTCTTTGAGGAGCACAGACTGTTCTGGTGGGAGCAGCCCCCGGGGCCTCTTTGGAGGGGGCACCAGGCTGTCCTCCAGGTCACCTTTCCCCCTCTGCCACCGAGGGTCTCCTGCCTTCGTGAACAGAGGGGCCTGGTGTGTGCTGAGGCTCCAGTGGATGGTGAGTGGGAGATGGGTTGGCAGTATTTTTCCTACTCACATCAGTGTGGCTTATTACTTGCAACTGGTTGTTGAGAGTCCCCTGGTGCCCCTGAAGTCTCTATGAGTTCTGGTCAGATTGAGCACAGCTTAACAACAGAAGCTCAGGGCTAGAATGGTGTCCAGGGTAGGGAAGGCTAGGGGACAGGATGGAGCCCTTCCTTCCCCCTCAGTCTCACCCTCTCTTTCCCCCAGGGGACATGATGAGTCTATCTTTCCTAAACTTGGGGAATCCCACCCGGGGAGGTGATGCACTTGGGAAGGACTTGAGGATGAGTTCCTGCGGATTTGCTGTTGGCCAGATTGTGGGACTGGACTGGACTTACTTTTTTTTTTTTTTTGAGATGGAGTCTCCCTCTTGTTGCCAAGGCTGGAGTGCAATGGCATGATCTCGACCCACTGAAACCTCTGCCTCCTGGTTTCAAGTGATTCTCCTGCCTTAGCCTCCCGAGCAGCTGGGACTACAGGCACCTGCCACCATGCCTGGCTAATTGTTTGTATTTTTAGTAAAGATGGGGTTTCACGGTGTTAGCCAGGATGGTCTCAATCTCCTGACCTTGTGATCCGCCCGCCTCGGCCTCCCAAAGTTCTGGGATTACAGGCGTGACCCACTGCCTCCCGCCTTTGTTTTTTTTTCTTTGAGACAGGGTCTCTCTCTCTCACCCAGACTAAGGCTGGAGTGCAGTGGCACAGTCATGGTTCACTACAGCCTCAAATTCCTGGGCTTAAGCGATCCTCCTGCCTCAGCCTCCAGAGTAGCTAGGACTCCAGGTGTGGACCACCACCATACCCAGATAATTTTTGTATATACGTATTTTTTTTGAGACGGAGTCTCACTCTGTTGCCCACTCTGGAGTGCAGTGGCATGATCTCAGCTCACTGCAACCTCCACTTCCCAGGTTCAAGTGATTCACCTGCCTCAGTCTTCTGAGTAGCTGGGACTACAGGCGCCCGCCACTACGCCTGGCTAATTTTTGTATTTTTAGTAGAGGCGGGGTCTTGCCATGTTGCCCAAACTGGTCTTGAATTCCTAGGCTGAAGAGATCCTCTCACCTTGGCCTCCCACAGTGGGTACTTGGACTTGTAAAGGCTGACTCCAGGGAATTTTGTGAGACGTAAGTTGGTGAACTGTTCACGGGAAAGGGAGAAACCCTGGGTTGAAGGCTGCCGACATGGACACGAAGGGAAGGAACTCTGAAGTCTCAGCAACCAGCCCGGTCCTGTCCCACACCTGTTGTGTGACCTTGGTAGATGTCTCAACCTCTCTTGACCCCAGCGGGTTGATTTGTAAAGTCAGGAGAGCTGGTCTAAATGGTCTCTAGATTTGGACACTTATGCTGGCTGCTCTGGAATTAGAATAGGGATCTGGAGCTGGTCAGTCTTTCACGCTTGGGCCAATGCAGCTTCTATGGGTGACGGGACCAGGGAGAAAATGGATTGCGTGGATTAGTTCTATTTCTGTTCCCTTCCTCATTGTGCAGTCCTTACAACTGTACGGTCTGCAAATTAGGTCCGTAATAAAGGCTTATTGATTAAGTGATTTTTTTTTTTTTTTTAAAGATAGGATCTTACTCTTTTGCCCAGGCTAGAATATAGTGGTGTGATCATAGCTCACTGCAGCCTCAAACTCCTAGGCAAACATGATTCTCCTGTCTCAGCCTCCTGAGTAACTGGGACTACGGGTGTGCACCACCATGCCTGGCTAATTAAAAAAAAAAAAGTATTTGTACAGATGGGGTCTCACTATGTTGCCCAGGCTGGTCTTGAACTCCTAGGCTCAAGTGATCCTCCTGCCTTAGCCTCTGGAAGTGTTGGGATTATAGGCATGAACCCCTGCATCCAGCTGATTGAATGAATTTAATGACATAATCCAGGGCTGTCCATGAGAAATATACAAGCCACAGATGTGGCTTTATTTTATTTATTTAGTTTTGAGATGGAGTCTCACTCTGTCACCCAGGCTGGAGTGCAATGGCACAATCTCAGCTCACTGCAACCTCCACCTCCCAGGTTTAAGCGATTCTCCTGCCTCAGCCTCCCGAGTAGCTGGGACTACCGATGCCTGCACCACACCTGGCTAATTTTTGTATTTTTAGTAGAGGTAGGGTTTCACCATATTGACCAGGCTGGTCTCGAACTCCTCACCTCAAATGACCCACCCACCTTGGCCTCCCAAAGTGCTGGGATTACAGGTGTGAGCCACCATGCCCGGCCAGCTTTAAATTTTCTAGTAGACACTCAGTTTAATGTGTGCTTGATATTCCATCTTGTTATAAGAAGGTAAAAATAAACAGGTGAAATTATTATAATTTTTAGAATATATTTTAGTTTACTCTTTATATGCAAAGCATTATTATATCAACATGCAATGAATATGAACACATTATTTATGAGGTATTTTACATTTTTTCACCACAAGTGTTCAGCATCTAATGTGCATTTTATGCTTACAGCCAGTCTGAATTTGGGCTAGTCAATTCCAAGTACTCAGTAACCACATGTGGATTGTGTCTACCATATTGGTATCTTCTGTGGTGAGAGATGAGTATTCCAAATTAAATGCTGTGTGACATTGTAAAAAATGCTCTCTTCTTGGAGTCTCTGTTTCTCAGTGGATGGTAGGGCCAGCTAACCCCTAGGTTCTAACCTAGAGTCTTTGATGTAAGTAACCACCTGGTCACCTGGAATGGTTTTTGTACACCAAGAAACATTCGTATCATAAAGCTGTAAGAATTAAGACAGTATTGTGTTGGTGCATGGTTGGGCCAATTGACCAGTGGATAAGAATAAAGAGGCCTGAAATAGATTTATGCATGTAAAGGCATTTTAAGCTGTATGTGGTAGCACATGCCTGTAATCCCAGCTACACCTGAGGCCAAGGCTGGAGGATCACTTGAGGCCAGGAGATTGAGAACACTCTGGGCGACATAGCAAGACCCCATCTCAACTTTTAAAAAGGTATTTTATTTTTACCAAAGATGGTGTTGCTGATAAACCTAGGCAAGGATGGTCTATTGGATAAATGGTACTGAGACGATTCACTATTCAGATGACAACAGTGGAACAGGAACCCTACCTCACACCATACAGAAAAGGCACTTTCAGAGGGATGAAAGATGTAAACGTCAACTAAATAAAAAAGTTGAAAACTTTGAGAATCTGTAAAAGAATAACTTTTGAACTTTGGGGTAAGTAAAGGTTTCTGAAGGCACATAAAGTACAAATCATAAAAAAGATTGATGAACATGGCTACATTAAAAATTAAGTTTCAGCCTGGGCAAGGTGGTTTATGCCTGTAATCCCAACATTTTGGGAGGCCGAGGTGGGAGGAGCACTTGAGTCCAGGAGTTTAAGACCAGTTTGGGCAACATGGTGAAACCCCATCTCTACAAAAAAATACAATTAGCTGGGCATGGTGGAGTGCGCCTGTAGTCCCAGTTACTCAGGAGGCTAAGGTGGGAGGCTTGCTTGAGCCTGGGGATCGAGGCTGCAAATGAGCTGAGACTGAGCCCCCACACTCCAGCCTGGGTGACAGAGGGAGACCCCGTCTCAAAAAAAGAAAAAAAAATTAAGTTTCTGTTAATCAAAAATGCCATGAAGAAAGTAGAAGACAAGCCACAGTAC